CCTAAAATGTGACTTAATTTTTCTGCATTTGGTAATGCCATAAAATGTGGTTTAATTAGTAGGAATTTGGGGAACTCTGCAGCTCTAATGTTGTGATAGTAATCACAGTGCAGTAAGAAATGTTCCTCTGTTTCCAGCTCTTTCTGTGAGCACAGTGAACACAGTCTCTGTTCTCGCGGCTGCCATCTCTGTCTGTGTCGTCCTCTCTCTATAGCCAGACAGTGATCACTCAGTCTGTATTTTGTCAGTGTCTTTCTTAATTTGTGATCTTTTACACAGCTCAGGTATTCTGCTGGTTTGTAGTCTCTTTTTAGGTCTAAATACAGCTCCATCTTCTTTTGTATTTTAGTGGCATCTTTCCAGTAAGCAATGTAATTGAGTTTTTGTAGCTGTGTGATGTGGTTGGGCTGGATTGTGCTGTGCTGGTTTGGGTTTAGTTTGAGCACCAGCTGTAGAAGGGCACTCTTCTGCAGATTCTGCTCCTGCCACTGCAGGGCTTCAGTCTGGTAATGGCTCGCATCACTGCAGGGCTTCAGTCTGGTGAGAGCTCGGATCACTGCAGGGCTTAAGCCTGGTACGAGCTCGGATCACTGCAGGGCTTAAGCCTGGTACGAGCTCGGATCACTGCAGGGCTTAAGCCTGGTACGAGCTCGGATCACTGCAGGGCTTAAGCCTGGTACGAGCTCGGATCACTGCAGGGCTTAAGCCTGGTACGAGCTCGGATCACTGCAGGGCTTAAGCCTGGTACGAGCTCGGATCACTGCAGGGCTTAAGCCTGGTACGAGCTCGGATCACTGCAGGGCTTAAGCCTGGTACGAGCTCGGATCACTGCAGGGCTTAAGCCTGGTACGAGCTCGGATCACTGCAGGGCTTAAGCCTGGTACGAGCTCGGATCACTGCAGGGCTTAAGCCTGGTACGAGCTCGGATCACTGCAGGGCTTAAGCCTGGTACGAGCTCGGATCACTGCAGGGCTTAAGCCTGGTACGAGCTCGGATCACTGCAGGGCTTAAGCCTGGTACGAGCTCGGATCACTGCAGGGCTTAAGCCTGGTACGAGCTCGGATCACTGCAGGGCTTAAGCCTGGTACGAGCTCGGATCACTGCAGGGCTTAAGCCTGGTACGAGCTCGGATCACTGCAGGGCTTAAGCCTGGTACGAGCTCGGATCACTGCAGGGCTTAAGCCTGGTACGAGCTCGGATCACTGCAGGGCTTAAGCCTGGTACGAGCTCGGATCACTGCAGGGCTTAAGCCTGGTACGAGCTCGGATCACTGCAGGGCTTAAGCCTGGTACGAGCTCGGATCACTGCAGGGCTTAAGCCTGGTACGAGCTCGGATCACTGCAGGGCTTAAGCCTGGTACGAGCTCGGATCACTGCAGGGCTTAAGCCTGGTACGAGCTCGGATCACTGCAGGGCTTAAGCCTGGTACGAGCTCGGATCACTGCAGGGCTTAAGCCTGGTACGAGCTCGGATCACTGCAGGGCTTAAGCCTGGTACGAGCTCGGATCACTGCAGGGCTTAAGCCTGGTACGAGCTCGGATCACTGCAGGGCTTAAGCCTGGTACGAGCTCGGATCACTGCAGGGCTTAAGCCTGGTACGAGCTCGGATCACTGCAGGGCTTAAGCCTGGTACGAGCTCGGATCACTGCAGGGCTTAAGCCTGGTACGAGCTCGGATCACTGCAGGGCTTAAGCCTGGTACGAGCTCGGATCACTGCAGGGCTTAAGCCTGGTACGAGCTCGGATCACTGCAGGGCTTAAGCCTGGTACGAGCTCGGATCACTGCAGGGCTTAAGCCTGGTACGAGCTCGGATCACTGCAGGGCTTAAGCCTGGTACGAGCTCGGATCACTGCAGGGCTTAAGCCTGGTACGAGCTCGGATCACTGCAGGGCTTAAGCCTGGTACGAGCTCGGATCACTGCAGGGCTTAAGCCTGGTACGAGCTCGGATCACTGCAGGGCTTAAGCCTGGTACGAGCTCGGATCACTGCAGGGCTTAAGCCTGGTACGAGCTCGGATCACTGCAGGGCTTAAGCCTGGTACGAGCTCGGATCACTGCAGGGCTTAAGCCTGGTACGAGCTCGGATCACTGCAGGGCTTAAGCCTGGTACGAGCTCGGATCACTGCAGGGCTTAAGCCTGGTACGAGCTCGGATCACTGCAGGGCTTAAGCCTGGTACGAGCTCGGATCACTGCAGGGCTTAAGCCTGGTACGAGCTCGGATCACTGCAGGGCTTAAGCCTGGTACGAGCTCGGATCACTGCAGGGCTTAAGCCTGGTACGAGCTCGGATCACTGCAGGGCTTAAGCCTGGTACGAGCTCGGATCACTGCAGGGCTTAAGCCTGGTACGAGCTCGGATCACTGCAGGGCTTAAGCCTGGTACGAGCTCGGATCACTGCAGGGCTTAAGCCTGGTACGAGCTCGGATCACTGCAGGGCTTAAGCCTGGTACGAGCTCGGATCACTGCAGGGCTTAAGCCTGGTACGAGCTCGGATCACTGCAGGGCTTAAGCCTGGTACGAGCTCGGATCACTGCAGGGCTTAAGCCTGGTACGAGCTCGGATCACTGCAGGGCTTAAGCCTGGTACGAGCTCGGATCACTGCAGGGCTTAAGCCTGGTACGAGCTCGGATCACTGCAGGGCTTAAGCCTGGTACGAGCTCGGATCACTGCAGGGCTTAAGCCTGGTACGAGCTCGGATCACTGCAGGGCTTAAGCCTGGTACGAGCTCGGATCACTGCAGGGCTTAAGCCTGGTACGAGCTCGGATCACTGCAGGGCTTAAGCCTGGTACGAGCTCGGATCACTGCAGGGCTTAAGCCTGGTACGAGCTCGGATCACTGCAGGGCTTAAGCCTGGTACGAGCTCGGATCACTGCAGGGCTTAAGCCTGGTACGAGCTCGGATCACTGCAGGGCTTAAGCCTGGTACGAGCTCGGATCACTGCAGGGCTTAAGCCTGGTACGAGCTCGGATCACTGCAGGGCTTAAGCCTGGTACGAGCTCGGATCACTGCAGGGCTTAAGCCTGGTACGAGCTCGGATCACTGCAGGGCTTAAGCCTGGTACGAGCTCGGATCACTGCAGGGCTTAAGCCTGGTACGAGCTCGGATCACTGCAGGGCTTAAGCCTGGTACGAGCTCGGATCACTGCAGGGCTTAAGCCTGGTACGAGCTCGGATCACTGCAGGGCTTAAGCCTGGTACGAGCTCGGATCACTGCAGGGCTTAAGCCTGGTACGAGCTCGGATCACTGCAGGGCTTAAGCCTGGTACGAGCTCGGATCACTGCAGGGCTTAAGCCTGGTACGAGCTCGGATCACTGCAGGGCTTAAGCCTGGTACGAGCTCGGATCACTGCAGGGCTTAAGCCTGGTACGAGCTCGGATCACTGCAGGGCTTAAGCCTGGTACGAGCTCGGATCACTGCAGGGCTTAAGCCTGGTACGAGCTCGGATCACTGCAGGGCTTAAGCCTGGTACGAGCTCGGATCACTGCAGGGCTTCAGTCTGGTAAGGGCTCGGATCACTGCAGTGCTTCAGTCTGGTAAGGGCTCGGATCACTGTATTTCAGGTGCTGCTGGAATTTCACAGCTGTCTTTTGAATATGAATTAATAATGGGTATTGTCCTAATTCAGCTCAGCACGAGTTGTTTGGGGTTGCTCTGTTAACTTTTAAGATGCTTTTACAAATTTGGGTATGCATAATTTCAATTTCTTCTTTTTCCCATTTGGAGAAATCTTGGGTTTTTAGAGGTCCCCATTTCTCACTGCCATAAAGAGCAATTGGTTCCATTATTGCTTTTAGGATTTTTAGCCAGGTTTGAATTAGAATTTCATATTGAATTGTATTTTTGATCATGTAGAAGACTCTCAGTGCCTTTGCTTTCAGTTCATTCACAGCCAGATTGAAGTTTCCTGTTGAGCTGATTTTTAGTCCCAGATAGGTGTATTCATGGGTGTGTTGTCTCTCTCTCTCTCTCGAGTTACTCATGTTTGAGTGCAGGTCTGCTGTTACGCCGTTCATCTGTAATCAAACGCATCGGAGTATCTGCAGGCGCTTGAACATCTGCAGGTGTCTCGGAGCTTCACACCTGTTTTCACCAACAGGACTGGTTTCGATTTGACAAATTCATACCGATCCGGTTTAAGCAGTAAGAATAAGATGACGCTCTCTGTGTGAACTTAATATTGTTTTATCTGGAGTTTAGGAATATTGGAAGTGAGACGCCGACATTACGACATCCAGTCACGTAGCAGCTGAATCATTCTGACTTCTCGCGAGAGTCTGATTCAGCGCGATTCTCTTCTACTTATTCTTTAAATGCATATTTATGGACTTTTTATGCCTTTTAATGAGCAAGGACAGTGGAGAGCTGATAGGAAAGCAGTAGGATTCGAACTCGGGCCTCCGCTGCGCTGTATGCAGGCTAACCACGAGAGTTAAACACGTTTACACAAGAAAGCTTGAGGTGACTACTAGAGAAATATTTCTGATCATATCAAAATAGATGATCTGTACGTCCATCAGTACATTTATACGCGTTTTATTTTAAAAGCTTAAAATATGTCAAATGGAAAACGTTTTTCTTTTTTAATGAAAAGCTTCGTATCATTTAGTTTCTATTAAACAAAGTCCAAAAAATATTATTTCAAACGGTGAATGTTTGCCATTTCCACATTATTCTGACAAAAAAAGTATTTTTTCATCAGACTTTGTGCCCTTCAGCTGGATTGTCAATTAAAGCAACTAAACAAATTGAGAAGTTAGCACTTGGAATATGAGAAGATGGTTTGTTAATCAGGCCTTCCTTTTTAGCAGCTTGACTAGAAATAAAGACTAATTTGCTCCCAGTGTGCTTTATTGAACTTTAAAACAAAGATGATATGCAGTATCTTGAGAAATAACTGACTCCATGTGAAGTTTCTGTCATTTCCACTCCTGATGGAGAAATATAGCAGCCCAAACACACCTGACGATCATCACGCTCATTAAACAGACACAAACACGTTCATTAGAAACCATGAGCTTTTATTGGAATGTTTCACCATTACACTTATAAATCCCACCCGTGTGTCTGCCTTTATCAAAACGAGCTTCTGCTAATACTGATTCCGCTCAAGCACGTTCATATGACTGTCTGCGATCATGAATAAATGACATCTGAAGGTAAAAGCAGTCGAGTATCTAAAACGCCATGAAGAAAAAGACAGACAGAAAATCCAGTATATGGGATATTTTTGAACAGTTTTCTTTTAGTAACAAATTTGAGAGATGGAAAGGAAATATCAAAGTAGAGCAGGAAATGCTTTGCTTTAATGTGGTAGAGGTTCGGGTCATAAAACATTAAAATAAAGAACAGGATGGAGTTCAACATGTGATTCTTTACACCTCAATGACAATAATGACACCGGTCCAGTTTCATCATAAACCTCATGATCAGAGTTCAGTTACACGCGTCACACACTCACACGACACAGACTGAAGCGCTTTCGGTTGCTTACACTGGGATAAAATCAACAAAAACTCAAGAAAACCGTCGTGTGTCCAGCAGTCGTGGTGAACCGGTGCATCGGACACACGTCTCTGAGGGGACCAACAATAGAAAAAGCATTTCTCATTTCTGCATCTGCTCCGTACCATCCCATACGCGCTTGTGTGTGTGTGTGTGTGTGTTTAGGACATGACACCGAACACAGGGTTGTGGCGGCAGATGCTCGGCCCGATCTCCTCGTAGTCCTTCTTGGTGTGACACACTTGGTAAAACTCCGGCTGCAGACAAACACACAAACACAGCGTCACACACATGTTTCTGACGTCCTGCAGCGTGAAGGTAATGACAGTCATTAGTAAACAGTGTAATCAAGTTCTCAGTGCACAGATTCATTCACAGAACAGTTTATTGGTTATAATTCATGGCAGCAAACGCTTCGGCTCACAAAGGCCAGCAGACGGCGGATCTGAACCAGTTTCTCTCTGACGCGTTCAATTAAACAGGCTTTTATTCAGATAAACGTCTCTTTATGCGTGAACGAGCAACAGCGAACACTCCTTCTGCGATGTTTTCACAGTACAATAAACCGTAATCTCCAGAGATTCATTAAAAATGTGATTCCTCGTCAGGCGAGTCGTTTAAAGCAGCGGTTCTCAAGCAGACGTCTGGGGTCAAAGGTCACTAGAGGACTTCAAATGATTTAGATGTCTGAATTGAAAAGTCACGGAAAGTAATCGAATCTTATAACAATATCGACATGTTATAACTATGGCTGCCCTCTAATAGTCGACCAAAATTTTATTAGTCACAGAAATTATTTTTTTTAAATCCACAGGCGAAGTCACGCAGTGTTCAAGCGTCTGTGTGATATGGAGGCGCCGCTGCGCTCACTTACTCTTAAAATACTCATTTTCGCTCATACAGATAAGAGTAGTAATATTTCGAATCTGTAAAGACAATATGTTTTATTTGTGTGCACTCACAATAACAACAAAACATTGCGCTTTTGTAAAATAATGAAAGCAACAGGATGCGCTTTCTGCCGTCTCGGTCTCTGTGAACTTGAGCGCGAAACTCCGAAACTCTGTAAACTTGCCTCACAGACATGAAAAATATTTTTTCTACATATATTAATAAATGATCTACCTTTCCAATGAACCGATTCAAATGGAGAACAAATATTCTCAGATTATGTAATGCGTATGAAACATGCATACAGGCGACACTACTGCGGAGATGACGAGTCAGTGTCGCCGACTTCATCTCTTAAACCCAAAACAAAGAAAGCACTAGTTTAGCAATACATTATTCAGATGTTAATGCAGCCTCCTTGCTGTTTTTCCCGACACATTGATAATCATTAGCTTCTGCGGTGCGCTTTGGCAAGCTTTATGAGTGTTTGAGCGCTTACAGGCTATGTTGGCAATTAAAGTCTCATTATTATGATTTAGCCTAAATGGATTATTAATAAACGTGTCTCTCTCTATGTTTGTGTGTGTGTGTGTGTGTGTTAGGGTTGTGCCATATATATCATCTGCGATAATATCGCAATTGTTGTTTTAACGATATGTGATTTGACATCCGAGTGTTCTGCAAAAACCATTCAAAACACCGATACAGAGAGCACGCATCACATGAAGTCTAGACTCGTGCGAGTGTGCATTTAGAGTGCGCTCCTTCACTGCATGATTCAGTCTATTACAATACATTTAGAATGGTCACAAATTCAAGACATGATGGCAAAAAATGTTAAGAGACTTATGTTTTAGACAATATATTTCCTGTTTTTGTTCTATTTCGCCAACAAAAATAATTCCAAAAACAGGCACAGCACTGTTTTGTGTCTCTGAGCAACATAATGACGTTTCGTTCCTGAATGAATCAACCGTTTAAATGATTCGGTTCAATCGCAGCGACTCACTTATTAACAGTGACCTACTGGCGGTTTTAATTTCACATTTAAAGTTTCTTTTTGTTATTTAAATCATTTCAAATAATCAGTATTCAATGTTTTATGTTTAACATATAACATTATTTATGCATTTGTAATTGCAGGTTAAATGCATTCATGTCTTGCATTAAACACTGTAAACACATCTAAATGCCACTTCAGATGCAGCTTGTGTTTCCTCTGCATTGCAAATTAATTTGAATGAATTTTTTTTCCAGATGAATTTTGTTGATACTGATTTCATTTGTTTGGTAACAGCCCAAATGTCTTATTATTCTAATTCACTGATTAAATGTAAGAATTTGACTCAAAAGATAATGCACACTTTTAGAAAAAATGGCTTTATAAAGGTAAAAATGCCCATAAAAGGTAAAAATGTAAACTTATTGAAAAACATAATTGTGAACGGACCACCACACAGAATATGAAAAATATCAAAAACATTAGGAGTCAGTTTAAGATACCAGTACAATAAAACATTCAGCAAAATACTGTCTAATTATCGTTATCAATACAATCCTAGAAAATAGAGATATTATTTTGTCAATATCACACACTCCTAGTGTGTGTATGTATGTGTGTATATGTGTGAGTGTGTTAGTGTGTCTCTCTATGAGTGTGAGTGTGTGTTTGAGTCTCTATATTTGAGTGTGTGTGTTTGAGTC